ATGCCCAGAGCTGCAGAAATCAGAGATGAGTCTTGACAGCGAGCACCTGTCAGTGTCAAGACACACAAAATCCACAGCACTGAAAGCTGTGCTCACACCAGCACCAAGGATCCCAGCAGAGACATGGAGCCCACTGCGTGAGCCCTGTGGGCAACAGAAGTCATGCAGTCAGACAGCAAGGCAAAATGTGAGAGAGCAACTGGAACAGAAGATTTAGAAGTCTAGGCTGCAACAGACAGGAACACGCTGATGAATTAGTGTTAAAAGCTCTCAGTAAAAAGTGGCTACCAGATTAGCTAATGCTGACCACACTTAAGTCCTAGAGCAATTCCTGTGCTGGTGGAGATGCACGTGATAAAATAATAGCAGAGTCAAACTGAAGGTGCTTGTAGCTGGAGATGCATACTGAGAACTTTCTGCTAGAGAAAATGGAGAGCTGTGGGCAGAGCGCTGGGGGCCGAGAAGGCAGGGCCAGCAATCATGTTTAAGAAGCATTCTGGGATAACGCTGGAGGTATACGTACAACATTTACTTTTGCAAGAGGCCTAAGTGTATTATTTAGTGTTAGATAATTCACGAGTAGTGGCAGATAAGCCTTTTAAACAGAATTAGAATACTATGTGAGCAGAACTTTCACCAATAAAAGAATCCAACAGAGGCAACATATGTTGACTTAGCTTTCAGATAGGCTGATGAGAATTTCAAAGACCAGAAAACATGGGGGTTTTTCCACAAATTATCAAAACAGCTCAAGTAAAAACTAGGCAACACGCATGTTGACCTAAGATTAAATGCCACAAACCATACCTGCTTATCCTACACAGATTCGATCATTTTGTTTGTGACAATGTGAACTGAAAGACTGTGCACTCACCCTGCATGCAGGCAAAGGTTTCACTGAATTCTCTGAATTCCTTGCCAGTTTTCTAGGAGATTACTTTTACACTTACTTTTGTTTTCATTTTATATCCCTGTCATCTCTAGTTTCGTATCATTGTGTCACACAAATTTCCTGTGCTATATTGTTGGCGTGTTGTTCCTTACTTACTCATTGCACTGAGTGCATAATACAGTAAGTACAAGTCCATCTCTGGGGTGACTTCCCTGAACTAGTTCCCAGTGACTGCCCGGGACAAAGAGAAGAGTCACTGCATTTAAGGTACAAGACAAAGACCTAGGAATTGCTTAGCAGGGCTGTGGGGTTGGTCATTTGAGCGACACAAATGGAGTAGTCTCTTTCTTTTACACCTCCTGCAGGTAGGTAGGAAAAGGCCTCAAAGTGCGACATCCAGATGTGTCAGCAGGGCTGAGGCCAGAAACCTTCCCATTCCCAGCATCAGACCATACCTCACAGGAGATACAATCAGAGCGAACCATTAAGCCTCCGCAAAGCAAAACAATTTGGCTTTGTACTTAATACGTGTAATGCTTTGCAGCATCAACTCCAAAGTTACCAAATGTCTTCTTGCAAGATCTGAGACCCTCCCCTCCCACTTTGTAATCAACCCTTATTACTTCTACCATGGGAAAAATCGAAAGGCAACCGTGCTGCTGAGAAGCCTCGAGGAGAACTACATGGGGAAAGAGCAAGGGGAATATTCTTTCCAGCTACCAGAGTTAAGCTACTTTCTGCCTTAGTCATTTCTCAATGCGAGTGTTCCTTTCTGGTCTTCCTGTTTCCCATCTTTCTTTTGCACTCTAGATTTAATGTCTAAACAAAACATCCTTTCTGTCACCTCCAGGGACAGGCTGACCTTTCTTTAAATCTGTTTACAAGCTCACCATCCCTTCTGGCATCACATCCGCACCTTTGCTTTCACACTTCCACAGCAACAACATCCAACTGCTTTCCTGTGCCAGTTTCCCTTGACTCCTTTTACTCATAGTCCTTGGTTTTCTTTCTCTGAGACCCCTTGCAGTGCTTTCCCACCTGTGTAAGTTACCCAGTACAACTCTGTATTCCTCTTTTACTCACATTATAATCAAATCCCACCAAAGCCCAGGCTGTCACTGAAACTGGCTTACACCACCAAGCAAACCATCAGTGGCTAAATAGCAATAAAGGGAGAAGACAACAAAAAAATGATGGAAAGTGAAAAATGGGTGAGGGGAAATACTGTGAATAAGCAATGAACAGAACCTGGGAGAAGTCGAACTTTTCAGAGTAGGAGGTGGTAGTGGATGAGATGCAGACAGTGGATACTGCTTCAGAAGTGGATACTGAATTTAAAATAAAGGACAAGAATACAGAATTTAATCTATTTTTACATTAATAAACTGGAAATTACAAGCAGGGTCCAAAAGACTGTCAACCTTTGTCAGATATACATGGTAACAGATGTCTGTTTTAGAACAGTTTCTAAAGATTCCCCCCAATAATGGCAAATGTCTTTTTTTTCTTTTTTTTTTTCTTTAAAAATGTCCCATTGGGGTGAAGGAAATTAAGTAAAAGATAGTGACTTGACAGTTTAGGATCTAACACTCGTGACTCACAACAGCCATCTTCTGTTTTTCCTATATATATATATTTCTAGCTGTGGGGGCACTGGTGTGAAGTCTATTCCTAGAGGAGCATTCATCATCAGGCTTGCTACACCCGAATGCTGACCCTGGCACCCTCCCTCTGCCTTTGCACAACAAGAAAGAAAATCCACTGGCCTATTTTAAGGCCATGGCTTAGGAAGGCATTCCCATCACATTTTTAATATATAACTCAGCAGGATGGTTAGTACTGTGCGTTTTTTAACCTCTGCATTACACAAAATTGTATTAAAAGATCATGAAGTTGGAAGAAACTGTAAGGTTAGGAAATGCTGAATTGAAGTTTCCCACACATCCTTACTGCTGAACTGCATCATGGAGCCTTTACTTACATGCCTGCACACTCACCCACTGAGCAGCTATACAATATTTCTCATTATTTTCATTATGCAGTGTGCCCAAGTCCCTGCCTCCTGCACACTACTCAAAACCTGCACTGAACTTAGAATTATTAAAATTCTCCTACTGGTGTATATATATACATTTTTTTTTTTTAAATAGATGCCAGTGAGTTTGATTTCTTAATGATGACCTGAGGTGAAGGGGTGGCATCACTATGATGCTGTGAAACTGAGGTAAGAGGGTTAAAGCTGAGCAATGCTTGTAGAAGATCAAGCATTGAAAGCTGGTACACTAAACTTCTAGGTCATGAGTACAACACTAACCATAATGGTACAAGAAAGCTCTGCACTGGTTTTAGATACATCTTTGAGCATTCAGCACTCCTGAAAATCAATTTCCACATGGAGAAGCAACAGAAAATAGTGCACATCAATGAATACAGCACCAATCTCTGCTGCTTCCATGTCCAGTGTAGTCTAAGGCTTACAATCATAGAATCAATTGAGTTGAAAGAAACCTCTGAAGGCCCTCTAGTCCAACTGTCCTGTAATGATAGGACATCCACAGCTAGATCAGGCTGGTCATTCTCATGCAACTGAGAACAGGCAGGTGGGGTGAGGTTCATTGTGCCAGTGGGTTTCACAAGTATTTTATTAAGCAAAGTAGGTTGCTGAGATGATGGGTCTCAGTTCAAGTTTTGCAAGGAATGGTTACAGACCATAATTCCAACTGCTTCTCTGCAGCCATATTTCTTTCATCCTTATGCTTGTTCTGCTCCCAGCTCTCACACAGGCGTCTCTGCTGTGTGCTGTCATCCTACATTCCCCCGCAAACTCCTTACCACAAATGCTCCCACTTCCCACTCCTTATCCCTTTTTGACTCTATGCTCTCACCTGCCTTTTGCAGGCTCCTGGTTTCTAGTGTATTTCAGCTTCCAGTTCTCCACTGCCACCTGTTTCTGGACTCTTTGCTTAGCCAGCCCTCAAACACTCAGTCTGTAGTTCCCATTTCTAGTTTTAAGCTCCATAAATTTCTCGATGCAATTCTCGGTGTATTACAGCTCCTACTTAGTGGTTTATCTCTTCTGCACCCAGATTTGAGAGAAGAGTCTCCCTCATTCTCAGTTCCCATATTTGGTGCCACAGAAACTTTTGGCAATATGTGAAGTCTTGGGTACATACAGATTGGAGAGTATTTCAGATCACATAGACAAACTTCAATGGAGAAAGACCAATACCATAAGCAGTGTTTTCAGATCAACCTTTTCTAATGCCAGCACCAATCTCTCCACTCTGTAATTAGTCCCTGAATGTGCCCCTTTCACTGAGGCTTTAAAAAAGAAATTCTGGTATGAAGAGGAGCCTATCACAAACAACAAATTGGTGCAAAGAAGAAGTGTAAGCATAAATAAGGTCTGTACTCTTGAGATTTGGTGATCCTTTCAGATGAACCTTTAGCATTATCACAGTGGGGTTTTGCAAATGCAACAAATTAGACCTGGTGTATCAGTGAAATTTACTAAAACTAGACCAATATATTTTCCAACATCTCAGCTTTCCATTCAAATTCTGCTTTCACTCCTGCTTGCAATGAGCAGATTGTTGGAGCAGAGCTCCAGCTCTCACAGCTCACTAACAAGCAGGCAAGGGAAAAGCAGATGCACTCTAGCAATCAAAAAACCTTTTAAGAAAAACCCTGAAACTCTCACAAGCTCATGATTGACCCAAAGCACGCTTGATCCAAGTCCTTTTTGGTCCTTTTTGCTAAGCGCGGGCTGATCCTTGTATTATGTGCATTTGACAAGAGTTCTACATCAGAAACAGTAAAAGCAGTCTCTATTTGCTGCTTCCCTGGTGTTCTCAGACCACTAGATGGCAGTTCCCCATTTACAAACAAGTGCTCCATTACCTGCTTGCTCCTGCTCAGCAGCTGTGTCAAGCACAGCTGAGGCATGTATCTGCCCCTGCATGTCATCTTTGACACAGACTTGTGGAGCTGCCACCAAGAGTGGCTCTGGGACAGCAGCCTACCAGAAGGATACACAGCTTATCTACGCTTTTAGACAAGAGCTAAGCACTAAACACAAGAAAGGCTCTCAATGTCATGTCTTACTCACCCAGAATTTTACGAGGAAGAAAGCATTTTGGGGCCCCTTCCCAAACAGCTCCTTTAGACCACCCTTCTTTTCAGGAAATTTGTCATAAATCTGACGAATGTCCACCGATTCAAGCAGTGGGTCGCTGTAAGAATGGTTTGCGTGTCCAATGTGTACGAAGAGGTGTTTATTGTACTGCAAGAAAGAAACAGGAAAATCAGCGCTGAACAAAAAGAACAGAGGTTTATTAAGACACAGGTCTGCATGTGTTCCTGCAGAGGGAAGCGTGCTTTGATGGATTCAATGACTCGCACGTTACTCCTGGGACTATGATTTTCTGCAGTGTGATTTCCATGAAAAACTTCAGTGATTGTGAAATAGCCCCTAGTGAGCAAGAGTCAACTTCAAAACCCCACGGACCTCCTAAACGCCACCAAAAATGGTCATCTTCAAGGGAGTAATTTACACTGAAAGACTGAATGGCAGCGAGGTGCTAAAGAGCCCACTGCAGGGCTTAATCAGATGAATATGTGCTGGAGAAAAGCCTCTTTCTGCTGCTTCGAGCCATGCTTCTTCGCTACCCACATCCTCCAAGCCCAGATTTCTGCTGGTATCCCAAAAGCCTGCATCTACACACTTCTTATTTGTCTATTAAAAAAAAAAAAAACAAAACAGCAAACCTCAACCTATAGCATATGCTAACAGCACTTAAGGAAGACAGAAAGGAGTTTCTTTAAACCTTAAGATGACAATCATGAGAAGGCCAGCCACTCAGTATTGTTGCCACTTTATGAGCAGACCTCGCCATACGCCCTCCAATTTTTTGACCTAAGTACTAACAGGAGCCAATCTTCACCTAGGGAGCCCTAGAGAGTGAGTGCCACTGACCACTCTATGCCAAAATGTGTTCTGCTTCCACTTCCCCATTTCTTAACCTCACCTCGCTGCATCTCACTGCCCAGCTCCACAGCTGCCCTGGCTGGGGGAACTCCTGAGGCCAGGGGAGCCCAAGACAGCTCCCACTCAGCCCATTATGGTCTTCTGGGTGCTTTCAGCATCATGCAAGCAGACTGAAGGAGCTGCAGAGCAGTGAGATTAAGCGTGTTTTTTAAACATGCAGGTCACAAAAGATTTTTCTAACTCAATTAAAGGAAAACTGATATGCTGTCAATGAACACAGTAGAAAACTGTCATATCCAACAGATGCTGTATATAAGGGGCAATTCCCAACTGGTAAGCACAAATAAAATATTTAAAACCCCAAAGCAGACCTCATTTAAGCTATTTTGTTTACAACATACCTGCTGAATGAACAAATTGAAATGACAAATCTCAATTAATTGGACATCCTCTCACAGCCTTCCTTCAGTGTGAGAGGGGCCTTCCCTAGCAGATGTCCAAGGCTCTGGGGACAAGGAAATGGACTAGCAACATTTCTGTACTTAGGAAATTGTAATCTATTTGACAACCTTCTAGCACAGTGCAATCTGAATTTAGAATCAGGGAACACTCACCCCTGTTCATGGCCAAAGATGAGGTAAAGTCTGTGCTTTTTAAACATCAGGTGGTTCCTTTTGTGAAAGAAAAAATGGAAAGTGTAACGGCATGCAAAGATGTTTGCACATGCAAGTCTTGAGCTCAATGTATCAGACAAATGAGCACCACTTGCATGGATTTTCCTTACAGGCTTCTCTCAAAATAATGCCATTTCAGTTTCCCTTGTGCACAGAGAACTTGCCCAGTGTGTCCCAGAGGGACAGAGTTGGTCTGAATAAGCTGTTTCTACCATAAAAACACATATGGCAGAGAAATAAACATATGGATGGGAGCTGAATGTATGTGTGCAGGACAGAGCGTGCCCTGGTCTGGCTCATGAGCTGCTCATTTACACAAGGACCCAGGAAATCATTGATCTGGTTGGTAAACATGAGATATCACAGCCGTGTCTGTAGTCAGAGGTAGCATTTTACTTCACTCAGTAGTGGACAAAGTGAACTTAGGAAATACTTGAGCTTGGAAAAAAAAAAAAAAAATAGAACAAAAAGAAAGCAAACTAATATGAGAAGGAACCACGTTTCCAATTTCTATTTTTTGACACGCATTAAGCTGGCAGCACTGTGACTGAATGACAAAATGTCAGACTGGATGGTTTTTGCTTCCTACTTTGATCAAAAGCTTTGCATGGGACACCAAAGCAAAAGGCCATGGTGCCCCGTGCCCCAGGAGCTGGCAGGAAGCCACGGAAGGGCTCCAGAAGCATGCTCCTGTTGCTCTTCTAGCAGGAGCAAGCAAAAGGGTATGGGATGAGTCACCTAACATGGATGCTAATGGATGCCCAGCTTGACCAAGGAACAGGGCAAGCTCTTCCCTGAGGGAGGTGAGTACTTCAGCCCTCCATGAGAAACAAAGGCAAAATGTTCCCCCTCCCCTGCAAACTCTTCATCTGCCAAGGAGGGCACTCCCTGGAGATGTGCACCTCTATTCTCCCTCGTTCAGAATAAGGGCTGGCACAGTAAAACTTGCTCAGTATCTAAACTTCAGTAAAAGAAATTCTGTACAGGAACACGGAGCGGTTCAAGAAGTCTTTCTGCTGTTTAAATACAAAAGCAGAGCTGAAGGCAGCTGTAAAGCTACCACAGTTGTCTGCTGAGCTTGCCAAAGTACCAGATGCTGCTGCAGCAACATTTCTGAGCTGGTACAGTGGGACAGATGGTATGACATCACCTGACAACATTCCTAGGACGGAAATGTTTATTTTGACATTGCAATGTGTGATTATTTTCTCCTTCTGTTTCTGCAATTCCTATACTAAGTACAGTCATTACTAACCTAATTAAATATGGCACATTTCTACAAACTAATGAACAATATTGTATTAGAAGCAGGGCAAATGGGTACTGAAATGATCCCTGTAGTTTTCATACATACTTCACAGTGGGAATTTATGTGCAAATAGAAGCAAAGAGGCTAAGCTGCATGCCTACATTTTCAAGCCCATTATGTCTAAAAAGCTTAGAAATGCCCTCACTATCATCAGAATCCACTGTTGCCTCAGACTGTGTATTCCAGCCACTGAGGCACATTACATGTGGAGGAATTTGCTCGTGCCACAGCACAGGGTTTGCATCCAGCAGTGTACTTCAGCTGCTGTCAACCACCGTAGGTCTGACCCTGTGTTTTCCAAGGATAAAAACTCCATAAAAATGCACAAAGAATGTTTGCAGTTACTTTGTCTGCAGCATCTGCATTACACAACATGCCCTGAAGATGGCCGCCTCTTACTGAGCTCCCTTCCTTAAAAAATTCCAACTATCCAAAGAATGCAGTAAAGCCATGAAATATGACTGTTGTCAAATAATACCACGAGAAAAATTATAATCCACTTAGGAATTTAAAAGAACTGAGACAAATTGCCAATGGCAGAGGATGCGTGCATTTAGCTGGAGTAGAACAAAGACGAATCACCTCCACCTGTTCTATCTGCCAGTGCATGTATCTGTAACATCTCCTGCTCTTACACACCAAGGCAATAGCCTTCCCTGTCTGTGAAACAGAAGTTTTGTGGGCAGCCAAGCAGGACACAGCCTAAGGGCAGCAGCTGGGGCTGAAATGAGAGGCACCAGTGCTTCACAAGTGCTGGGCCCTGTGCATCGGCCCTGGTCTGCCCTGCCTCAGAGCCTGTGGCCTGCATAGCACTGCACTACTGATGGAGGGGACCAGGCAGCGCAGACTGATTAGAAAGCAGTCAATGCACTGCTGTCACCTGCAGCCTGCCCTGCACAGTGCTGCTGCCTCGCTCTATCTTGTACATCTGATGCTCTTTAATTTCCTGCTGATGTAAGAAAGTCACTCGCTCTGCCAACAGTTCTTATTTCTACCAAAACACTGGTAAGCGGATGTTTCATTGCCACTGCTGTTGTCTTTCACTGAAGCGGACTGGGACTTGTATTTATAATGCTCCCATCTTATAACCAGAGACTTCACAAAGTCCTGTAGTTAGGGATTTTAACACTTTCACAACCATTCTGTGGTTGTGTATTATGACACAATGCACAGTCTCCCTCATTTTTTTAGGACCTCCACCCATCAGCCTCCTGCCTGCCTCTGCTCAGGGTTCAATCAGGAATGTGCCCTAAGAGAAGTTCTTAGACAGCTTTCTAGGTGCAGAAATGAAATAGGGAGGCAGGAGCTGAGCAGGGCAGAACCCTGCTGGGGAGGCAGTGCAGCCCCCAGCCTGGCACAGTACTGCTGCCCAGCACTTCCCATGCACACAGGAATACCAGTGTGCAGCCGGGACTTGCTGGCGAGGCAAGGTGCTCACAACTCATCTGCTTTCCTGCAGCACTGCAGATGTAGCTTTCCATTCTAGCCTGCCTGATCCGAGACCCCACGGTCCCAATTCCACAAGTGCTGAGAGCTCAGATGGGAAAATTATGCCTGAATGTAGGAAGCTCTCAATAATGCTAAGTATTTGGAAAAATCAGGCTCATAACAAAACAAAGTGGACCCTCAAAATCAGAGGCCCATTCATTCTTTTGCACCTGAACTTCTTGGTTTGTCAGATGTCAGCAAGAGTGCCCCTCAATCTCAGAGATGACTGCACTGATACATCTGTGAAATGCAGATGGAGGAAATTATTAATTCTCTTTGGAGGAGAGTTTAGATACTGCTCAGCAAGCAGGGCATGGGGCCACGCATTTCAACAACAGAATAAAACAAACTGCTGAACAGTGGCTTATCAAAGAAGGGCCACTGCATCTACACCAAATGAAGGAAGAAATAAAGGAGCACGTGAGCACATAATGACATGACACCTGAGAACAAATATTTTATGGAGATGGACATGTGCTGCTCAGCACTGCATAAGGAATGACCCTTCTATCCCTTCCATTTTTTAAACTTGGACAGATTTTAGATTCAAACAACCCAAAATTCTGAATCTGCCACTCCACAACATTCATCCAAGCGAGGCTTTGCTTCCTCTTCCTTTCACAGCAATGCTAACGGAGACTTCCTTATGGCCAAAATGCTGAGCTGCTTTCCATACACTTTATGGGAAATAAAGAAAGGACAAACAATGCCTTTAACGATGCATATAGTTCAAAGATGGAGGGTTTCTTTTGAAAGGACCTCATTGATTTTTCATCACTTAGGTTTGATTAACTTTGGTGAATTTTACTGCATCTGGCTAATGATGGTGGGCTGTTTTTATGGCCCTTTCGCAACTGCTTCCACTTTCTGTTTCTCAGGCACATTTCTCACCGGGCTCACAAAGCCTCTTTACAACAACAATAAAACCTGAATGAAAACATAAAGAATATTTTATTTCTTCATCACTTTTCAAAATACATTTTGAAGAAATTTGGACCTACCACCATCTGATGGTTTGGACGGGTGTGTTAATACTGAAAAGGCCCAACAGCCGTGTTCCTTCCTAAGACAGAAAGCTGCCTGGAATGCATGCAGCAGTGAGAATCCTTGAAGAGGCAGAGAGAAGAAGGCTTTATTCTGGGAGGTGGCACAGTATTTTCCTGGTTTGGAACTAGGTATGAATGAACTTACAAGAAATTGGAATTATTTCCTTTTCAGTGTTGGAGTCTCTGAATGCTCTCTCTATCTGTATACCAGCCCTTTGTCTGTACACACAGTTTGTATTTTTGGGGTACGTGGGCATATTCGTTGTAGGCATTTGTCCTGAAATTTCACAGAACCACTACAGTAAAAATAGAAAGCTTCCCTTAAATACAACCTGCCCTGAAAGCAACAGGTCGCATCAATTTGTCAACCCTGGAGATTATACTTACATAGGGCTGGCAACAAAGAGAGGCACCCACAAGGAACACGAGTGCTTGGATGTACCAGGGCAGCTCCTAAGCACTATTTAAGAATTGTGATTGAACACAAAATGCCACAAAAGGGAAATACAGCTTGACATTTAGAAACTGAATTGATTTTCACGTTAGAGGAGGAGTAATCTTACCCATCCTTAGCCGCAGAGTCAGATTTTGCAACTGTACCATCTTACGCCCTTCCAAATGATCCTTTGCCACGCAGAATTACAGCAAGGGATGTTTATTGTTTCCTCCCTATATTTTATTCTTTTGTAAATGGAGCGATTTACATGGTGGCTAGGCAAGGGAAGAAAGTCAGCAGCCCCCAACAAGGGACAGGGCTCTCTGGAGCACGTTTCTGACCCATAAGAATGCCCACCTGGAATTAACGTAACTGCCTGACATCAAGGGGTTTTTGTACTTCCAAGTACCAATTGACTGGAAGAACCCCAGAAATGCTTAATGCCCCACTCCTTCAATGAATTCTCAGTGGGTGGACCTTTTATGTCCATGCACAGCCCCATTGAAGTTGTTGGGAGTCAGCATGGGCAGACACCTGAATCCATAATTGCTATACAGGAACACAGCCTGCAAGAGGCTTCCCAGGGTCACCAAACCCTGGCCTGAGGTCACATTTTAAGGAGGAATTGGTCTATTTGTCCTCACCACTACCAGGCATTCTGACCAGGTTTTCAGATGAGGGAAGGAGGAACTGTCATTTTTTTTCTTTTTTTTCTTTTTTTTTCACCAACAAAACGTTAGAAATTTAGTTGATCAAAAGAATATTTAACTGGAGCTATACAATGATGGCAGAGTGCAGCACAGGATGACCAGCAGCCACGGATAGCAGCCAGGCAGCATCTGCTGCATGCCCACCGCACCTTGCAGCACATGCAGAGCAGGGATAGAGAATGATCCACACTGGAATTTATCCATGAAAGACAACAGAATTGTCTTTGCGTCGTATTTTTGCAATGTTACAGCATGTGATTCTGAGTCTTTAAAAACAAGTCTGGGTACTTCTATGCTTCTGCTTCTCTCCTACCCCTCCCGCATTTATCAAAATGCAGTAGTTATGCTTGCAAGCTGGGACAAGCACCAGTGGGCCTCCTTGCACCTCTGGAATTCCAAATCACACGAGTTTACTCTAAAAAAGGCTTCATAGCAGCTATGAGGCTACGTCGCCTAACTGTGTTTCAGGCCCCCACCCCTTATGCACTGCCTTCCCACCTACAGGAAAACTGAGAGCCCCAGTGCACCCTCAGCACAGAACCTCCTGCAGCCCAGAAGCACCGCAGGCTCTGGCAGAACTGTAACTCAGGATGTGCCAAGCTGCCATTCACCCACATGCAGTGCAGTCATGCTGCACGCTGCTCGGCTGTACTGTCTGCAACACTCTCCAGGCACATGTGCAGTATCCCCATTCAGAACAGCCTGGGTGCAGCAGGGATCAGTAGGGCACACTGTGCAGCACCCAGCCACAGGTGTTTGTTTGGGCTGCCCAAAGGGAAACCTGGGTGCTATATTCCCTGCATCAAAAATACAAACCCTGCCTGGCTGAGCACAGCACTCAGGCAGAGTTGTTCCAGCTGTGGCTCAGCCAGGGGTACACTGAGATTCAGGGTGACTGCGGCTGCAGCCTGCCCTGCGCAGCCTGACAGCATGTGCTGGGCCCTGGGTGCTCCAGGTGGCAGTGCAACCAGTCTCAGTGCAGCCATGCAGCAGCAACCCACCCAGCAAGAGCTGAGCCAACAGTACCTGCTGGCAGACACCGCCTTCCTCAGCATTAACTGAGCCTGGCCAAACGGGATGCTCAGCAGCCCTGCACGCTGCCACATATTTAGTGTATGAATAGCTGAGATATGGCATATTTCCGTTGGGTTGTTTCTCTGCCAGGAGCATTCCTCTGTTGTAAGGTTTCTGGGCTATGTCTCCGGTCTCCATTATGCAGGGTAAACACTCCCTGGATAACACCTCTGGACAGAGCCCACAGAAGCTATGGTTTCCAGTACTTAATTACAAAGAGCAAGCGATAACTTCTCTCCGCTCCAAGCTACTGTATTTTACCAGGCATCTGAACAAGAATGAGCTGTCTATATCACCTATTCATGACAGTATTTGCTTTTCAGAAATTATCTCAATAAAAATTCTCAGGCTCGAGCTGAAAGAAGCTCTTTTGATTTTTTTGTGACACAGTAGAAACCATGCTAGGCTAGTCACAAATGCCTGTGGTAAATATGTAACGATTAATATCAAGGTTCATGGCTAACTGGTGTAAATAAAATACTACAGCCAACCCCATAAACTACCCCTGCAGGTGCAGTATAAAGACTTATAAACCAAAACCTTCCTCAAAAAACAAAACAAAAAAAGAAGCCCAAACAAAAAAAAAAAAAACCCTCAGACTGGATCCTAAGGCACGAAATCAAGCAAGACCCAAAGACCATGCACTTAGAAATGTAATCTCAAAAAAAGAAAAAAAGAAGCAATGCAGACAAATGCTGTATGCTAGGAAGGCTTGAACTCAAAGGAAATATCCCAAAAACACCCAGAGGATGACCCTAACATCAGTTTTGTAAAGGGCCATGCATAGTTTCTATACAAGTCCTTGATTTTGTTTCTGCTAGGAAATAGATTAAATTGTAACTTACAGTTAGGCACTGAACTGCTGCCAAAAACATGATGCAATTTGGTACAGCTGCTAAAGTAGGTTAACAGTGAGGCACAGTGAACCAAGCCTGCTCTCAGACAGGCCTCTCTCTTCAGCAAACAGAGAAAGAGGGCAAGAAAGGATAATGTGGAACCACCATGAAAGGAATATTACACTGAGCAGTAGTGAACACAGCAATACCAGGAGTGTATTCCCCCAGGCTTAGCCCTGGAAAGCACGCTCTGAGTGGGAAGGAACTGAGGAAAGCCAAAGCTGAGTGGACATGAGGGCAACACTTACTGATTCAGGATCCCTCTGCTGTTCAAGGAAAGCTGAAAACTCCACCAGCCTGAGCTTGGTCGTACCAATCGATCGGCCCTGCCATGCAGGGACTGACGGAGCTGGAGCTGACGTAGGCTCAAATCCTAAAGCAAAGGAACCATTTTCATCAACAAGTTGATCATTCTTCAGTTTACATTTTCTGACTTAAATATAACCAGGAATCACCCAGGTAGCTCCTTGGTCATTTATATTCATTTTAACAAATAATGAATGAAAATAAGGACAACACAGAGAAACATGTAGAAAAAAAGGTCCCAACCCAACAAGCTAAAAATGGTACAAATAAAAGGTTGGCTCCACTGTTTGCTTGTAGAATTTTTGCTTAAATTATATACTGGATTTTAGAGATTTACAGAGACTTCACACAGACTTCAAACAGACTTACAGCTGACTCCTGCCTGGAAACAAGCAGCAAGGCTCTGAGGAGGTATTACTGCCTCAAGGAGTTAGGAGAACTGGCCTCCATTTCTGGCTCCTAATGTGCCACATGTTACAAGTAAACCACCTCTCTTTCTGCCTATTTCTTCTGCCACTCTCAATTCCTCTCTCCTATTTAGCGTATACATTTTCCAAGGCAAGGACCACTTCTTACTATGTATTTGCACATTGGGTCCTTGTCTTCTTTTGGAGCTTTTAGGCATCATTATATTACAGATAATAGTAAATAATTACTGTAGAGAGCTGAATCATACTCTAAAAAGAAAGTTTTAAATTGATAATAAAGAGGGAATGACATGCTCTAGAGAGAGAAGGGATGTTAGCCACCATCTCTAATTCACCTCAAGAGAATGAATAAATGCTATCTCCTGCTCCTCATTGTGGAAAATTAGATGAGAAGGAAACAAAACAGTAAAGGAAGAAGAGAAAGGCTGCAGCTGGGAGGCAGAAGCTGATCCTGGGAGACACACAAGAAAGGTTAGAAAACCAGGATAAACTTGAACACGGTTAAGAACCAGGGAGAGGTCACAGATAGTTTGTGTCCATCTCTCTTAGTGAGTTTGGGAGCTGGATCCAACCCTCAAATTGGGTTGGATCCCAATTTGAAACCCTCAAAGAGGGTTTGAGGCTTGTGTGAAACAGGGAATTACAACAGTGACTGGTTACATGTGAACAGGAACTCTAATGAAGCAAATGCGTGAGTTCTGACTGATTTAGAAATGTTAATAATCCCATTCTGAAAGAGAACAGAAGATAAAAGAAGATTCAAAGTATCTGACAGTCACAAGTACTGAATAGCAGGAAGTTAGAAACAACACAAAGTATGAGGGAGTCAGCTGAGAGTCAGAAGCGGGGTGTAGTTTGGCAGGGGAAGTGTAAAGTTAGTTGTCACCTGCAAAGAAATAATTATCTTTCCTGGTGTTAGTTGTGAAACCAACTTGGGAAAAGGAGAATGGAAGAAGCCATGGAAGGGGCATCACCAGTATAAGCAATGAAGTCAGAGTGTCAGAGTAAGCGTTAAGCACCTAACAAAGGGTTGTCAGGTAGAGCTGAAGCTTCAGGAGGAGAGGAGTTACCAATAACAGACACACAGACTTATACCTAAGGCTAAACACAAACGGTCTCTGAACAGTTTTTAGCATTAATTAAAAAATAAATGGAGGCTTATTATTATAGCTATTAAAATACAAACACGCATCCTACTATTCATTTTTTACAATGCATTTTGCTACAGTATGAAACACTGGCTAGAGATCATGTATCACAGCAACTCCTCACATATGTATTAACACTTGCTATCTAAAATGTAAAATCAAACACTAAACTCCCAAACTCACTGATTCTCCCTCTTAACAAGTACCAGGACACTGGTATTTGTTAGAGACTGGTGGTGTTTGGTTTGCTTGCTGGGGTCATTAGAAATGGAGCAGTGGCTCTGTCCATTTCAGGACACAATCCAACCCTTTTTAATGGAGACAAGAAACGAAAGTTACCTGAAATGGGAGCTGTGACTGATGGCTGTATAGGGTAGGCCTGCTGAACGAATGGCTTTACACTGGAATAAATAGTTAAAAAAAATCATACATCATGCCATCAACAGTAAATTCCATTAGAGTCATACACACAGTTAATGATCTTTACTCACAAACGTATTTGACCCCTACACAGCATATGTAGCAAACATAAAGAGGCAACAGCAAGAGAGAGAAGCATGAGAATTACATACACCCAATGTGCTGAAGTGAGGAGCTTGTCCATGCTCCTGCCCTGCCTGCTGCAACCATCCCAGCAGATGCAAATGCTTTGCAGATGCTTTGCCTCCCAATAAATCCAGAGGACGTTGAAGTACTGGGGCACAAAGATTCCCATGGACCTCAAGGAAACGAGGCAGGGAAAAGATGAAAAATAAGGCTGGGAAATGTTGCTCCAGAGCCACTGCAGAGATAAGGGACTGCATTCCCCATGGCTGATGAGGGATGCGATCCCTTGCAACTTTTCAAATATGAGATCACATCACTGCAAGTCACAACCCTATAACCACTTTTCCTTCTTTTTGAAAGATGTGCAAATTACTGCAAGACTGATATCCTGCGGCAGCAAAGCACCCCACACTGCAGACAGAAACATACTCAAATTTTCAGACTTACTCTTGCGAGGATCCAGGCTGCCCCGTTTGAATCATGCCAGGCCAAAACTGAAAGAAGAACAAACAGACCCACATTTGTTTTCTCTGTTGAAAGATTTGGGATATTTCTGAACAAGCACGATTCCTTTTGCAAAGACAAGTGAAAGCATTAATCCATTCACTCAGCCTTAGATTTCTACTGAACAGCATTAGAGAATACAGGGATTTTCAGGACTCAGCTAACAACTTACCCCAGGTGCCCCAGGAAATGTAGGACGGGGAATTCCTGGCAGGCCCAGCTTGTTGTGAATAGCAGTAGCTGAGACTATCTGAGCTGATGACATTGCTGCCATGTGCTGGAGTGCTTTGTCCTTTGCTGTCTGATCCTTTAATATGACAATTACATGGAGTCTTAAAACATTTGGCACAACAAATGATGTTAAATAACTGCAGCTACAAGCACATAACTCAAAACTTAAAAAGCCACACAGAAAATGCAAAAATAGCAAACCATGCAGGAAAAAAAAAAACAAACAGCACGAAGGCTAACACTCAGACTACCTGAAGGCAAAACCTCCTCTCAGACATGCATGGTAGACCTGGATTCTCACAGTCTGCTCTGCCAAAACGCAAGAGGCTTGGGGAGAGCAAACTGCTGCCCACCTATTAATCTGGGTAGATTCTGCTGGTTTTAAGTCAGGACGGAGTAAGTCAGTCTGCTGCTAAGGCTCTGCTTGCCAGAGAGGGATCGCTGAGATCTGAGCTCTATCATTTAGATCTAAGAGAAGTTTGCCTTTAGCATTACACTGCAAAATGAGAACACAGAACTGCGACCGACTGTAAATGACGACAGATTTTATTTGTGCTTACATGTTTAGAGCCAGCTCAGAATCTGTCTTACAGCAGTATTTTAAAAACTGGATCACCAAAATCCAATTAATACCAAAACACAATTTAAACTCCCAGTTGTAGTGCATCACTAGCTGATAGTGATCCCAAAGAAAACAGACAGCCATAACATTTCTGCTGTTTTCAAGCATATAGGAACAAGTTTAGGAAAAGAGTTACTGATTACTTGTGTTAAATTTGGAGTCCTAGACGCTGCCCATCAGGTATGATCACAGAACAGAAAAGGAACACCTCTTAATGCAGCGGGGTATTTTAGGTCAGGTGATAAAGGTAACCAACAGATTGCTGCTGTCTGGAATGGTGGGGTTCCCTGTCTGGAGATACTGTATTAATATGTGCTAACATTGAGGTATGTGACTTAGGATGAAAGAACACAAGCAATATTAGGCAAGGATGTTGCTGGCTTTCAGGTTTTACTTTACAAGCAAAGTAGCACGCATGCTGGCAAGAGACGCATGCTCTTCTATACAGTATACAACTTTGCACATATGCTCCCTCTAAAGCTTATATGGAGCAATATGATAGGTGAGCAGTCCTTCCTTTGAATAGCTCCTTCAGAAACAGCACAGGCTGAGAGTACAGGAAAAGCTAGCCAAAAATTCTGCCAAGCACAGCTAAAGTACATAATACTTGGTTTAGTTAGAATACTTACCATGCTTGTTACCTGGATACAACAACAAACAGTTTATTAAAATGCTTGTGTAGAATAGCAGATTTTCAGCAAAATATGAACAAAATAGTAAGAGACAAAGGAAGAGCATTTTTGCTCAACGTTAAATACCAGGTTTAAACAAACATGTTACTTTCACCAAGGGACTGATTCATTAAAAGGAAATAAAAATAACAAACTAAAGACCCAGCAACGCTCTGGGGGTAATTTACAGCAGGTCCCCACATGCAAGCTGCCAACAGACGTGCAGGGGGTCACTGCTGCACTTGTCTCCCTGAGCTGGGAGAAAAGAGCCCCTGGCAGCAGAGGGGCAGAGGAAGGGCTGTAGGCAGCCCCTTCACACCCGTGGCAGGGCAGCACGCTGCCTTCTGACCTGTCTAACCCTCAGTACCCCCACGCCAAAGCTCATGTGATATCTGCAGGGCAGCTTCTGTTCTGTTGTTGTGTGCTACCTAAACTTAGCCACCTCACCAACTTGCAGCTTTCCCTTCGAACCTCAACCATCTCACCTGAGCCCAACCCTGACCATCCCTGACAGTGCAGGAAGGTGTGAGGGATGCTCTGGCACGAGACCTCTTACTACAGGCTCTTTCATGCCTTGTAGCATTCCTTGTAGCAATTGCTGCATTTGGTGGTAGCCACTATTCAGTCCTTTGATTACATGTTAGAAGGATGGAGAAAAAGCAAAATGGAGAGGTGCCATCCCTTGCAGGAGGGCTCGTCCTGGGGAGTTTCATGGACTCCAAAAAACTTCCCCTTGGCAACACATCTGCCAGCCCTGCTGAGCATCAAGACACACACTCAGCCAACATTCATCAGTGGGAAGTTTCACCTTTAGGAGGTTTAGGAACCCATGATAGTCAGTAGACCATTTTAACTAAAAGCAAACCTAACTTACATTGAAATATGGGAGAAATCAAATTCAGAATAAAAAGCAAATGCTAAGAGATCCTGAATTCTACTAGCAAAGTGCACTTCCAGCTCCAGGTGGTGGACTGCACACGTATTACTAGGCAGATTACACAGGCTTCAAAAAGAAATAGAAAAACCACATTTTGAAGCTGCTTATTTGAACTGAAATATCAGCTTGCCTATGACTTTAAAAAACAAATAGACTGGGCTTTTTTTGTACTGCAGCAGAGAGTGCCTGCAACCAGCAGGGAATGACTCTTTCCACCTATCACTGCAACGTGCTGCTTCTGGGATGAAACTTGATAACTGATTAATAACACACAATGGTATTACATCACAGTTTAGGCGGCAAGAGAAGTAATATGTCCAATTAAAACTGCAAGTGTAATTTAAACAGACAGATTACAGTAATTACCCAAGTTGGAATTCGGCCAGGACAAATGGGTTAACACCCCTACTCTAAACAGGAACGTTGTGGGATTTTTAATGACTGCAAAGAGTTAAGACTTGGATTTCCTATCTTGTCCAAGACAGAAGGGCTTGGCTTTACTTGCGTGTGCCACCGTGTAAAGCTGGAATAAATCCTTCTGGTCGAGGAGGTTTGCACTGATGTACAGAAAATGAAAGTTTGGCCCAGCGTGCTGCAGAGTACTGTGGTGAGGTTTATCAGGAGCTGCAGGGGGACAGCATCTCCCACCGAATCACTAAATCCCACCAGAGCTTAAGGTATTCCTTGGATAGGTCCCATCTGGCCCTGCCCTGGCTTGACCCTACTTAATTTATGGGCTCCGATGGGATTGCAGAAGCCCAGGAATGACGAACCCTTTCACTACTGTCTTCCCTTCTTCTTAAAAGTAGGTAATTGGAGATGTTACCGAGGTGGATTTAGAGCGCAATCAATGAAAATCTGGAATAGTTTCACCAAATCCCTAAAACATCGTCACCGTAATGGAGATCTGCTTCTTGTTTTAGCTGACTGCTCTGGGCTGCAGCTGCAAACACCTTGTGTTAGGAAGGGGTAAGCTCTAAGAACCTAATGAAAGGAGACTATGCAACTTTTAATGAATCAGGCCCTTGAGTTTTACTTTTCACCCATTAGTTTTGGAATGCAAAATACATAGTTAAATTAGATAAGAATAACGCCCCAGTATCATCCAATTATAATTCTTAATATCCATAAAAGCCCCACGTGAAACAAGTGTTCTACGTGACAAGCACAAAGGGATTTGTGCTCGACTCTTTTAATCCAACATAAACAGCAGAACAATTCAATCAATCAGTTCTACAGCAAGAGGAAAAAGAACAAAAACCTGTTATCCTAGAATGATAAATGGGGCTTTGCATACCATGTTGTCTATGACTTTAAGAAAAAATGAAACAAAACTAAGACAGCATGAGGAAAATTATGCACAACAGAACACAGTATTAATTCAAGAAAGCCTAAAACCTGCACGAATATTTAAAATACAAAACTTTTGTAAGGAAAAAAAATATGACATAAGAAACAACAATATGCTACAAAATGGATAGTACAGTAACACTAGCATAAAATACTATCCTAATAAGCAATTTTGCAGATGTTAATTCTGCTCAGATCTTGTATTGATTCAAATAACCTTTGCAATAATTAGCTGTAGCTCAAAAAGGATAAACAAATCACGAAAATATACAATTGTTCTGGACAAAAGATAGAGAGCACTTCAGTGTTTCTAGCCCTGATCTCCAATTTGCTTATTATTAGAGAAGACAGGAGTAAATACAAAAGCTGGCTATTTCAGCCAGGCAATAGCTAATGCCAAGAAGAGAATGCGCATTCAAAGCTGTCCCAACTTGCTGCCTAATGAGTAGCAATTAATCCATCTTATTGTATTTCAAAATGCTGAAGACTCCATTCACATCAAAGGGAATTTTTCAAGGCTTTTATCATTGTTCATTTAAAAAGTATAGAGCTATCTTTAGCATTTTATAATTGACAACAATATTTTCTTTTCATCCCTCGATGTGGAATGTAGAATAATGGATTTTACAACATGTAATATATGTGTGAATTGTAGGCATTTTAATGTTTCTTTTTGTCTCTGTTTAATTAATCTTGCTCTATGAAAAACATATCTGAAATGAAAGTCTAAGATAGATGTATGTCCTGCTGTGAAGACCTTTACTCTTTGTTTGGGCCCAACTTCCAATCCACCTTTTCTCCTGATTGATTCAGGCTCCCTGCCAGAGCAAAGGTGGGAAATGCTGCAACCTGACACTACAGACTGCTGTATTTTAGAAGGAAAAACATTATAAATTAAAAATTCTGCTGCACAAGAGGAAATGTCATGAAGAGGAGCCACCTTTCAGATCTGTCTCCAAGGACCACTTCATCTCAACCTCTCTTTCCTCTTTCATGAGATGAAATTTCTCTAACCTCAGGAAGATTTTAATAACCTCAGAAAATTAAGATAAAATCCCTAAAACAGGATTGTTTTCCTGCTGGAAAAGAAATCCAAATGTCGAACATCACTAGAAGAGCCAGCAGGGCATCCTCATTTGGTGGTCCTGAAACACAGCAATAGCACTTACAGGAACTCCTTGCAGGCTAAGGATCCATCCATCTGCAGCACCTGCAGGCATGTATCCCCAGAGAAAAGGAACTTCATTGGACCAAGGGAACATTACAGCAAGAAGACAAGATTTCTTGTCTTTGACAAGCTTCAGTAATACCAATGCCATGGACAGATACATCCAAAGTCATGCAGACAGCTCTGAAATCTTCCCATCCATATGGATTTTGCAGAAGACAGCCACAAGAAGATCTGACGTGTTTTCTCCTTGCCACAAGGAGGGTTCAAACCAATGCGAGACATAAATATCTCCAGAAGGTGCTTGGATAAGAAGACTTACTGGTTACACCATTTGTCAGTATAAAAGATCACTGGAATTGAGGTCAATGGGACAGACTGGCCATATCCCAAAAGATCAATCAGAAATGATATTATAAAAAAATCCCTGCTAGTAAAACATCAGCTGGGGAGTGAGGGCCTCCGTGCTATGCTCCTGCAATCCTCAACTCCCTGCTCATCATTATTTCACTTAATGCAGCACAGGCACACATAGGGAAGCACCAGCTTCTCTGTAATAACCTTCCCTGTGCACAAGTGGGGGGTGCACAGAGCTGGGAGGCCGGGTGGCAAGAGGAAGAAACATGGGAGACATAAAGGGCCTCAAGTCAGAGCTGACTGAACTTACAGTTACAGACTGGCATGAAGAAATCTCCAAATTTCATCCATGGAGTACTTTCCTCTCGTGCTGTATGTGAGAAATCTGGTATCAGGTGCATCTCTTCTTTTCAGTAGTAGCTGTTCTCCTGCACATAGCACCAGCTGAGCATTTTAGAGGTTTACAGGGCTTTACAACTCGGAAGAGATAGCTCACTGTTAAAACAGCTGAGAGTGACCTGAGGCAGAAGTGGTTTATTCCCTTGGCTATGTCCTTTCTGGCTATCTTATCACGAGGAAATGCTGGCAGCACTGCTTTAGGACGATGAGAGCCCATCACCTTCCTGGGATTCCCGAGGGGGCAGTTTGAACTGCCGCCAAAGCAGTCCGCACTGAAAACCACTTGAGAAGTACATCACTGATGTGAAATGAATGCAAGGTGAACACATTTTCTTGCATCTGCAAATGCTCTCTGTTACAAAGGGCACTGGAGAAGATGGACAGTTCAATAAGGGAATAATAAGAGAAATACAGGCAGTGCTGCAGGGGAGGCTGCAATTTCTCTGGTAAGGTACTGTGCAGATGTTGTGCCGTGGCACCTTATTCACTAACCAGGAGCAGAAAGAAAAAGAGAAGGGAGATGGAGAGAACCTGGCTCCTCTGTTGTTTCTGGGCACCCCTCAAGCGAGGGGTCTTGGAAGAGTCACCCGGGCTGTGCTAGGGCTCCTGCAGGATCAAATCTTGAGGGCAGGATGGCTACCTAGAGGTAGCAGGGCAGAAAGAACAGATGCTGACCAGCAGAGCCTGCTGGGGAAGGACTGGGGCAGATTCTGCCATTAGTGATACCTGGAGAGTTATTCTAAGTGCAGGGGCTGGCAACCTTATGTCACTGGCATCCTCACGGAGCAGGTAGGAAGTTTTGAAGCAAATGTCTTCCACAGAGCAGCAGTGACATGGACATGGGAGGCTCCTCACATATCGATGAATTTCTTGAAACAAAATGGCGGCTCCCCTGTTCTCTGCTCAGCCCTGGAAGAGCTGCAACCCGCTGACGGCTGGGAATGAGCAGGGGGATCTGAAGGCCTCGTGAAGTACCTTGTTGCCCTGACAGATCTTTCCTTCTTCAGGCGACTCCTCAAGATGAAAAATCCCCTGAGGGCCCTATTTACTGCAAATGGGCAGAGGTCTCAATATTACTAGACGACATCTAGCTGCTTGCTCCTTTGGAAAGCTCTGACAAAAATCTGATAGCAGCAGGTGCAGCAACTAAGAATATGTTTTGCTTTAGAATTGTCTTCATTTTTTACGTTATTTTTAGCATTGAGAAAAGGAAATATTTTAGAAGAGCAAATCCAATATTTTTGTTAGGTTCCTAAATCTGTATTTTAGTATCTAGGTGAGTTTCCTGCTGTTTGTAGCCTAGGTGCTCACCAGCCCTACAAAAAACCCTGAGAGCTGCTGGTGCTGAGCACCTCTTACAGTAAGGCCACCTCCTCACATAAGTAATTTTAGGCATCAAGGATTGACAATTTAAGCTTAAAATGCTACATATCTCTGCATTATTGCACCCTCGGTTAAAAAGCAGTATGTTTAGGTTGTCTTAGTTGTTCTTTACAAACCCCAACTGCTCAGCCAGTGCAGCTAAAAAGCCAGCCACCAACAGCCATACAAGCTTGCCAGCATGCTGCCCACTGCGGATGAAAAACCCAGTGCTTCTGTCAAGAAGGCCTGTTACACAGCCAGGCTGTTATTTATACGCTGCAGCTCCAGGACTGTGGTAAGCATCTGCAGCGCTCACCACTTAGCCTCGTGAAATTACTTGCTGAAACATTTCGTTTTTCAGCTAGAACAAAAACGTGATGTGTTCTCATTCGGAAAATAAAAATCAACAAAAAGGAAAAAAAGGATGGAAGGAAAAGATATACAAGTTCCTTTGCTTTTCATTAAAAAGAAAAAGCGTGGAAAAAATTGCAAAACCCCCTCTTCCACTTTTAAGTAACGTGAGAGCAAAATGCATCCCATGATCTCTGCTGGAAATCTTGAAAAAACAAGCCATCCAAGAAACCCCCATCAAACATTTCCAAGAGTTTCTTTTTAGCCTTAGAATATACTGTATGGAAACCAGAGAAAATGGGGACACGTACAATTCATCACGTCAGATTAAGCAAACATACTTAGTTTTCCTTGGACAGGGCTCTGACTGAAGCTCTCCAAAGATTAAATGGCAACGTTTTACTTTAAAAAAATAAAATTTCATAGAATTTTGCAAATAGTATGCAACTTCAGGTGATACTAGATTGCACTCTAGTAATGTCTTGCAGCTAGAGCAATCTGGATAAGCTGTGCTCTCTGGCACAATCTATTTTAAGTATTCTTGATAGCGTTTCAAAAGCAGAGACAAAAAACATTTGGGAACAGAAAACAATCACCCTATCTAAAAAAGAAAAAAAAAAAAGAAAAAAAAAAAGGAAAAAAAAAAGTATCTACACAACTGTATAAAAACCTTGTGTATGTAAATACACTCGTAGCACTCAGCTGTTCAAAAATAAAACAAAAAATGAATGGATGGGTTAAAAATCAGGTTTAGGTGCTGAGCGGTTACAAAGAGTAGTTCACCTTGCATTTGGACAGTGTTAAGACAACGTTTTTAATGTGGATGCTAGTGCAGAAACCAGAGATTAAACACAAAGAGACGCAGACAGCTACCACATGCAGGAAAAGGAGGTTACAGGCACGGCAGCACCAGGAGCTCGCCCATCACCACGGGGAGGAGGAAGGGACAGGCATAGCAACCACAAGCCCAAAAGCAGAAAAGCGCATACCTTCAGCTTGGAATGAAAATCACGAGATTTCCTTCTGGCAAGAACCTGAATGTGACTAGACACCTGCAGGGTAGGGGAAGGGAGGAAACAAAGGAAAAGCCTGTAACCATGGAGATGAAAAGCCCCCTACAACTGGGCAAGCCAAACGTACCTTAATGGCGGCTTGAATTTCTCGAACTTTCTTTCTTGCTAAGACCTGTATGTGACTAGACACCTACATTGTTCAGGTTTATAGGAACAAAAAAGAAAGAAAGAAAAAAAAAAAAAAACAAACAAAAGAAAAACAAAAAGCAAATCAAATTTAAAATATCTATTTTTCTCTTTAGGAAAAAAAAAGAAAAAGAAAAAGAAAAAAAAAACTTCCGAGGGAATTGAGTTATTTGCATCTTCAGTAAGCTCTGTTGTTAAAGATACCACATCCCCAGACATATACCCAGCTCTTACCACTGAGGCTTAACAATACTGGTCATCACTGCAGTGACTTGATTAAGGAAAAAAGACGTGCAGCCTACTGGGTTGTGCACTCAGCTACAAGAGAGAGGACACAGCCTGCAGCTGGCTGCAGCCCCTTTGCTTTGGGACAGACCCCATCCGCAGGTGGGTCCCACACTCTGTGGGATGCAGCCCACAGGACTTCCACCTCTCAGCCAGGGCTGCAGATGCCCACCCTGGGCACTAGGCTGAAGACATAACGATGTCGAGAAGTTGCATCCATTCATTCGTATTGTGTTCTGCAGCTCCAGCAAGGAGCTTCAGGCTGTGTTTTGGCCCCACTGAAATGTTCCAAGTTCTGGAACAAATGGTAAAATATTGGCACGATGCAGTCTCAGAAACCACTCTGCCTGTCTCTGCAATCTCAGCATCAAATCTGCCCACAGAATGTTCATGTAACTAGAGACAAGTAACTGGGCATCAGCTCGAGTCATGTCTAGGTTTGGTCTGTTATTACATTTTGCATTTTAGTCAGAAATGTGTGTAATCCCTGCCCTGCACCAGACCATTTCATAGCCCAGTTGTTGTTGCCTATGCAGTGAAGGGTCGGGGCTATGACTCACATTCCTATTTATTCTGCCACATGTTGATATCCATGATATTGATGCTGAGGGTTTAGTGATGCTGACCAGCATTGCTTGGTACTGCTCAGCACCTCCCAGATCTCTATGCGAAGGTTTAAAAACTGCAGTGATGGGAAAAACTGCTAAAGAAAAATCTTTAGTCTGATTTCATACCATACCAGGTGTTGTACAATTTTCCTGAGTTAGTTAAAATTCCTGACTGGGAAAGAACACAAGCAGAAGAAGAGGAGAAACAAAGTTTCATTTCCTCCCTCTGTAAGATTATTCCATGACAATAGCAACAACAACAACAACAACAACAACAAAGCAAGCCTGATTTTTTAGTAGAGAAGCAAATAACAATGCGTAAGTGAGCGCAGCCCCTGAAGGCCACCTTCAGAGAGTTCTCCAGGAAGCAGCTCGGGAACCAGACTGCAGTAATTTAGCGTTATACTTTTGCTTACTAAGCAATTTTGTGGTCAAACACGTAGACCAAGTTTTGACACGTGTTCACTTGTTTTGCTTTCAGCAGGATATTAGTGGTGTTAAAGGTTATACAGGAAGCACAACTGTAACATTTAATTGCTCAGTTGAAACTCGGAACTAATGACAAAGTCTTCTAGACACTTATCAAAACTGATTAATGAAACATTAGAGAGGGACATACAAGAACAGAGGCCGTGTGCAAGCCATCACAGCCCTCTTGGTTTGACCACAGCTCTGCCAGCACACGCTGGACACGGATCCACAGCCCAGTCTGCATTTCAAATCCTGATGCCATTTTAAGAGTGTAGCTCCCAACTGGGGGAGTCTGCATGAGCATAACACAGGGCAGAGCTTGGGCCTTTGCCTTTTGTTCGCAGATTTCTTTGCCAATCTTTTGTTTGTTCCTTTTCTCCATGCACTGCAGTTTCTTCTCCTTTCTCATAGCTTTTTTCATCTCTCATACATATGCTTTCTCCCCAGTTGACAAAGAACACCACCCAGGGCAAAATATCACCCACTTCAAAATGCTTTAAGCACGAGGTTTGGCAGCAGGCCATCTTTATGTGTTCTGACTCAGTGTCACCTTTCTCTGCTTTACAAAACACGCGTAGCATGCAAGTGTATGAGCTGCTGCCTTCTCCTTTGCCACGCACGTGGAGGGGAATCTCAAACTTAACGGTAGGGAAAACAAACGGACTCTGCAATTTGCAAAGCATTTTGAAACAGTGCAAGGGCTTAAGAACCACCACACAAACCATACAGATCGTGTGCCTTCTGTAAGGCTGCTGAACCCCATGGATATTACAAATTAAAGGATTTAGTCATATGCTATTAAGTTAGTGGTTATGCAATAATTGTCTAAAAAAAGACGTAAGACTGGCTCAAGGTATATTCTGAGTCGTTGATGAATGAAATCTTGCCATGGTCACAGACTAGGAGCCTGAAGGCTCTGTGAGGAATTTTTTTTATAATTATTTCCTCCTGTAGCAAGTACTGCCCACGAGCTGAAAGCATGATTAGCATCAGTCTCACCAGATAATTTTTATTCATTCACCTCTCATATCCAATAATCACAAGCTTTATTATATTGGTGAATTGGCTGGACATTCAGAAATTATTAACGGTTATTCACCATCTCAAAATAATCATTTCATTCTGCAATTATCCTTACAGAGAAAAAAGAAACAATGCTATATGCTTCTGCTTTGACTTTTGATTTTTTTTCCCCCAAATACAGGGGATAATAACCTCATATACATGTAGACCAATAGAAAATGCACCTCCAACTTTCACTGAAATGATGCATATTAAAAAAATCTGGAATTTAAAATATTTTTCTAAAAAGTGTGAATTTTAATTGTGAAGTCAGTGAAGTCGATACACCATCGTGTCAGAGCTGAAGCACAGACAGCCACCGCAGCCAAAAACACCACGTTTTGTTATTCACCGAAACGCATACTTCCCCACTGGGTTATTTTACCTGCTTCCTGGTCCGTGTCTTCCCTGTTCTAAGTTTGATGTATCTGGCTATCAATTCATTCCTACCTGAAACAAAGAAAAATGAATGGTAAGGGACAAGCAGCAACACATCCATAAACACCATCATCAAATATGACACTGAAACATATAAGCAGCATGCATATAAGACAGACCTTTTTTTGTACCTACTCTGCTTTTACTTTGCAAACTATTCATCCATATTTTGTATTGTTCAACAGTATTTCTCTTCCATCTCCTTAACACTGTATATGCCCTACCAAAAGCGCACAGAGACTATAGGGTTTTTCCAATGAAGACCTGGAGCTGTAGGCAGGCAGAGAGGCAGCACTATGGCCACTGACCAGGATGGTCTCAGGCTAAGGACACCTGTCCCAAGGGCTGACACAAGGTCTGGCTTCTCCCTGTTTATCTTCCAACTACACTGGGTGATGTCTTACCACCCACCCAAAGCACTGATCAGCCCGGTAGCATGGTTTTGCGCTGGCATTTTCTCCGGCTTAATTCTTCAAGGAGGAGAGCAGAATTTTATAATTCTGTTGGGGAGCACTCTGCCTCTTCCACAGACTGAAATCACTGTCTCACCATGTTGTAAATCACATCCTTAATGCCATGCACGAGAGCGGTAACCCTGCGGCATGGAAGTTCCTGCTGCAGCGTGGCTGTTCAACACGGTGGTTTGTTATTTAGAGCTCTATTTCCCTTGGATATATAGAATATTTCCAAGCGTCTAAAATGGCTATTTGACTCTTCTTCAGTCAAACACTGCGCTATTTAATACGAACTAATATTTTCTTTCCAAATAATTTCCTTCCTAAATACTGCTGACATGGATGATAACAAAGTTCTACGTGGTGTCCTGTTTATTTTCACTGCATATTATGTTACTTCTTCATGAGTTGTAATAACTTAAATATACTTGTTTAACAAGTCCTAAGTTATGGAGCTATTTGCATTCAGCACGGGGGAAAAGCCCAAGTGTAGAAAATGAGAAAACTGATTTAGCAGTGAGCTGAAAATGGTAAGGCTAAGAAAATAACCTGTCGCCCACGAAGTTGTTTTAAAGTGGACGAGTACACAGCTGGGGAGCGTAGAAAGGAGAGAAATAGAGCTGCTCTACCTTTCATTAGCATTAAATGGAAAAGCTCTTCGATGAAGTTTACAGTCTGGGAAAAAAAAATCGAGGGAGAGATCAAGATCCTGAGGCCATGGCAACAAGAGGGAAGAGAAAATGGCCTATGATGCTGGCAGGCAATACCAAACAGGCTTTAAGCAAGAGTCTTCCAATACCTTTCGCTTCTGCTCTGTCCCTTTAACAAGCACTGCTTGAGCAGACAAAATGAACAGAAAAACAGGAGGACACACTCGACTGCCTGCAGCTGGGAAGCCCAAAGGGGCAGCAGTCTGTAAGCCCAGCAGCAGCCCTTCTGTGGCCCTCTGAGACCCAGAGGAATTGTGGTCACAGCACGGGTCACTCCAGACAACTACGTCCATTCCAGCAGCCCTGTGCAGCCCTCAGCTGCAGCTGAGGCAGGAAGAGTTAAACCTTCTCATGGCTTCACAGTATTCTCCCCAGTCAGGAGAGCTAAAAAACTATTTTTAAAAGAAAGCTCAGATTCCCAGGCAGCCACTTGACACAAAAAGCAGCTATATAAAAAAACACTGAGCACTGAAAGTCTAGACTGCATTATTCAAAATATCAGTAAGTGCCGTCCCCACTTAGGCCCCAGGTCCATCCGTGAAGCTCTCTGGCTGGAATCAGGAGCTCTGATCAGCCCCGCTCCAGCCCAGCAGGGAGATAACTGACAAGATTGTGGCTTTCCCTTAAGGTGAGATCTAGCTGGAGTCCAGCTCAAGAAGAATCAATACAAGGTGGAACAGTGTGACAGGGAGAGGGAGCTCTACAGGGAACCGTGCAAAGTGATCAAGGCAACAGCCTTATTTTTCCCTTACAGCTACATTTTCAACATGGAAATATGCATCTTGCTCAGCCAGAGCAGGGGATATTCAGAAGTTTCATGGAGCTCAGTAAATATCTTTTGCCTAACCAGAATGATCTGAAAAGATGTAGAATCTGTTTTGGACCCCCCCAATAGCATAAACACAAACATAAGCACTGCCTGACATACACAAGATAGGTGCCCCAGGTAAAAGCTTACAGCCTTTGTGTTATCTACCAAACGCTGCTGCTCTTCTTTACCAGCTGCGATGGATCCTAACAGAAAAGACCTTACCTCCTGACCCAGCAAGGCCAGAAGAGGATTTTAAGGAGAAGAAGGACATGTAACCCTAAAAAACACTCTTTCCTTTTCTTGGGAATGAGTTTGAAACAAAAGAGGCTCAAAAACTTCTTTAACTGGCCACTAAAAACATTAGGGTGAAAAATGTCAGTTAATAAACAGATCTGTTTTTCTCTAAGAAGGGCTCAGCTGTGGAAATACTTTCCATACACACCCTCTCGATCTCTCCCTGTCACATATATATACGGAAAATTGCCTAGCAGAAGAGGAGAGGTCAGGTTTATGAACTGTAAATGTTCAGCTCCTTCTCCTTGTCATCTACTATGACAGTCTCCTGCTCTGAATGATTTGGTTCAGGTATGAAAGAGAGGTGTGGGGGGGTGACCAGTCAGATAAAATATCTTCACTGCTCAGCAGTCCTTTCCAGGGATCTTCAAAGGGTTGGGAGAGGACAACATAAAGCATTTTATATGAGCTTTTCTGAATGTTTGTTTTGCTTTTAAATTCACTCTTTACCCGTCATGCCCTGCTGTAACATCAATGCAATTGCAAAATGTGTTTTTCTCCCTGCGCTGACACGGGGGAAGATGCATTTTACACAATACAACATCTTTCTCAGTTGTGGCCACAAGGAAAAAAAAAGGGTTCTGCTGGCTAACAGCCCCACCTGGGCTCCCAGGCTCCCTTTGCCTGCTCCGAGGAGCATCACCCCAAACGAAGGAGAGGACAGCAATCCCAGACACCTCACAGGCAGTGAGTGAGGAAGACCGACATTTCTGCTCTTCTCCTAAATAAGTAGGAGCAGCTGCTGAGAGGGGAGGCTCCCACCCACCCCCTGGGAGGCAGTTGTTGCTCTAACAGAGGGTCCTTGTCCCAGGAAACCTCCCCCGCTACCATTATTTCCAAAAGCAGTCTTCAGAGGCTTAGCATCAGCCCCCATAAAGGTCTCTGTGAGGCTCATGGGTGCCACCCTCGGTGCACCCTTTGGTGGGCAAAAAGGGGCACCCCACAGGCAGCTCTGCAGGGCCTTGAGAGGGTTGTGGTGGCGGCCCAGGCACACGGGGTGCTGGCTGCAGGTGTCCCTGCTCAATCCTGTGGCATCACGGCGTATGGGGCAGGCAGCTGGCTTTATTTAGAACATGAATGACACAAATCAAGCTCCTGCCCCCAGATCCCAGTAACAGGCACCATCCAAATGTGATAAAAATAGACAAGTATGGGAAATTTAGTTGGTTAGCCACTGGAAAATGAACAGCTGATTTATAAAGTTTCCACACTCAGCAAAAAAACTGTAAGCAACGACCATGTAGCAACACCTATTTTTTATTTCTTTTCAAATAACGGCATACTATGATTTTCACAAATTCTTCAAGACTGTGGCTTGACACAGGCATTTCATATACTTAGCACACAGCCTGGACACAGACCTACGTGCTCGACTTCTCTTAAAACAAACATTCCACCTCCTATGTCACGTTCGTAGCCATATTTTGCATGGCAAAGTTCTGTCAGTATCTGGGCTCCACCAGGAGCCCCCAGCATGCTCCCAGGCCTCAGGCACAGCCCATGTGTGTGCTGCCTGCAGCACCGCATCCCTTTGTCTGTGCTGCTCACACACGAGCCAGCATGAGCCGGACTAAAGGCCCAGCCAACATGGGGGTCTGCACACAGACACGGGGTGCAGGCTGGTTGGGGTGAGGGATTTTCTCCAGTGGGAGGCGGCTGTGGGATCCGAGGCAGCTGAGCCTTTTGCCAGCAGAACTCCCAACTTTGGGAGAGCTTGCCTAAAATTGGCGGGTGCCGCTTTCTGAAGACGCTCGAAAGCTAAATTGGCTAACAAAAAACCTCTTGTAGATAAAAGAGCTCAGCAAGTCAACAACTGGCTAAGCAGTTTAAACCCCTAAGTAAGGCATCCTCTATTTAAACGTTATAGGCAAATCTAATTTAAGCTTTTAAAAATATTACGGGCAGGTGTTTAAGTTGCCCGCACCCTGGGTTTGGGGGGCTGGAGGGGGGCTGGGCGGTGCTTCCAGGCAGGCAGCATTTTGTTCAGACAAGCTTTCTGTACGGGGCCACGTGACGCAGGCCAAATAAACAGCATCTGGGGATTTTCAATTACAGACCTTCACCCAGCATGCCTGCACTGTAATCTCTACCAGATGAGGCTCAGGCCTCACTATTTTCAATAATTCACACACTGTGTACACATAACATGACAATAAGGGCATTCATGCAACCGCCTGATTCGCACATCAAAGCTCCCAAATGGCCAGCTGTAAGCATGCTTACTGCTGAATAATTCATTCTTTTCACAGGCTTGAAAAAACGCTCAGCGGGAGTTGGCAAGCTTGTGTTCTTTCCTGTGTGGTATGCTAAACTCAAATTTTGAAAGAGGTACAGCCCCACTAAAAAGAGTCAGGGATCCAACTATTTAAATGTGCATTTGTGAGCTCTTGGATGGCCCCTTCAAATTAAAAAAAAAAAAAAAAAAGCAAAGTGGGAAAAAGAAAAACCTAAACCCATCATCTAAATGAGCTACATTTCCAAGTGGGCAGAGGAGATAAGATGAAATAGCCTGCATGCTTGCTAGGGCAGGTGTTTAATAAAAATAAAACGATTAAACTGTTTTCCTGACGGTCAGATTTGTTCTACACATATTACTCCTCACCCAGTACCCCACATACACCAGATGCATCACAGTCAACAAGTTCAGCAAACTTGAAATTTCCACACACTTAGCATAAATTTCCTACTCTACGACAAAGAGGGTTTTAGTCAAGACTAACACGTAAGAAAAAGGCAAACACA